CACCCTCGAGGGAGGCCACAGGAGAAAGGGACTGGTTTTTTACTGATTGCATCCCCTCTCATTTGAGATGCTGTTATCAGTTGCCAGACACTTTTGTGTCTGGCCTTATAACAGCTCAGGAAGTTGTGCAATCTTGTCAAGCGTTCATAGAAGGACTGGTCCGAGGGCATACAGCTGGTAGTGGCCAAATGGACTAGAAGCAGGTCTCCCGGTTTCAAGGCTCCAGGCTTCTCCCACCTTGGACACTGACCAAAAACAGTGTCCCAGGCAGATTACAGGAAGGAGAAGGCTCTTAGCTCCAGCTCTGCTTATTCAAGGGGATTGGGAGATCAGTACTTCTCCTTTCTCTCTAAATGGACGGGTACAACAACCTCACACAGTCTTCACAGGCCCACAAGCTCAGTTACAGCAATGTGGCAGGCAGGGAGTTGATCCTCAATCTGGAGATGAGGGTTTTAAGACTACCACTAACTAGGTAAGTCACTCTGGTCAGTCACCTCCATGCTCTGGATTTCCTCTTCTATTTAAAATGCAAATGTGCCATATTCTTCTCCTGCCCCAGATCCTTCACAGATGCCTGTCGCCTTTTCAGCTACAGTTCTAACAACTTCCCTATTCAAACCTAAGCCACAGTGCAAAGTAGAGAGGAATGTGCAGAAGGGGGCTTCTGCTCCTTCTGAGCTCTTTGATACTCAGCCAGGAGAGGGTCAAGCAGACAGTGAAGGGATATGGTGGACATTAATTAGGTTCTGTACCAGGGATCTCCAACCCTGTTAGGAACTGGACTGCACAGCAGTATGTGAGTGGCAGGTAAGCAAAAGAAGTTTCATCTGTATTTGCAGCCACTCCCTGCCACTTGCATTACCACCTGAGCTCTGCCTCCTGTCAGATCAGCGGGGACATTAGATGCTCTTAGGAGTGCGAACCCTATTGTGAACTGTGCGTGCGAGGGATCTAGAAATAGAGTGCACAATAAATGTAATATACTTGACTCATCCCGAAACCACCCCCTGCCCTCCAGTTTGTGGAAAAATTATCTTTCACAAAACCGATCCCTGATGCCAAAAATATTGGGGACCACTGGTTAGACAATGGCCAGAGGCTCCCCCTCTGGCTGGAGTTGAACTGAGCTGGCCCAGCCTGACCCTTGGTAAGACTCTCACCATGCATCTGTGATTCTCCTTGACCTAACAACTACCGAGTTTCCCCCAGACAGCTTCCTTCTCGCTGTCCCTTCTCGTGGTCAGTTCCTTCTGGGTCTCTCTCTGTTATGTGTAGCTCTGACACAGTAATCACAAGTCCTGGAACTTCCCCAGGGACAGAAACTGCAAGTTGTGCTTGTTACCACACCCAAGCACAGACTTCCTATTGGCTCAGATGCTCACCCTACTCTCCAGTGATGCCCATTCAGAAGCATCACCCTGAAGACCAAGATGAAGTAAGGTGAAAATGAGACAACAGAACCATTCAGAACTCAAAAGTTGCCCTAAAAATTTCCCTGCGTGCCCATGGAGGCAAAATGTTCACCCAGTTCTGCCCACAGTTTCCCTGAGACTCACCATGTCCCTCTACCATTTTCAACACTTTCAGCCTTAAGCTGTTCATTCTCCCCTGGCCCCTACTCTCTCTTTTTCTCTCTCTCAACTCACTTGACATTTCTTTCAAGAATTCCTCCAAAACTGGGAAGGATGCTATTAACATGGTAGTAAAAGCATGAGCTCTGGATCCTGTTTTGTTTTGTTTTGTTTTTTGTTTTTTTGAGAAAGAAGGATTTATTGAGAGGACAGAAAAGCTCCCACAGTGGGAGGGGACCTGAGGGGTTGCCCCGGCTGAACTCAGCCATCCCACTTACTAAGTGACATGGGCAAGTGACTTAGTCTCTGACCTAATTTCCCCATCTGAGAACATGGATAACCATGTCCATTCATTGGGTGGTTATAAGGATTACATGTGACAAAGTTTGCAGATTCATCAGGGTAGTTAACACTACCTGGTATAACAAAAATGTCAGTGGCTTGATATAACAAGGGTTCACTTCTCACTCAATCAATAGGCTGACACAGGTTGGGTGTCTTTCCTGCACAGCTCTCCTCCAGAAGGTGATTCAAGGACCCAAGCTCCTTCTATTCCCTTGGAGTCCTCCATTAGATTCCTCCAGATGGCTGACAGATAGCAAAGACAGAGTTAATGGCCAGGCCTGAAAGTGGCACCCATCAACTTAACTTTACATTGGTTAAAATACAGTCATGTATTCCACCTATCTGCAAAGTAGGGTGGAAAATACATTTGCCCTATGTGCCAAGATGAGGAAATGGGATTGCTAAGCATCTGGCCATTCTCTGCTACAAGATGTAAAGTATTTGGCATAGCACCTGATAGGTTCTTGTTTTTCTTTTCTTTTCTTTTTTTTTAAGGTATGGTAGTCTTATGCCTGAAATGACTCCTGTTCTGAGTGCTCTCTGTAAGGCAGCAGGATACACTGGAATATCCTGCATTCACATGCTGGCTCTGCCCTGAGCAAAATATTAACCAATGACAGCCATTGTGGTTTTCTGATCTTAAAAGAAGAATGCCAATTTACCCACTTCACAGGGTTCTTCAAAAATGTCATATTCCTTATCACTAAATACATACTTCCCTCTGACTAGAATATCATATCTATCCACTCTTCGCTGAGTTACCTCCTACTCCTCCATCAGGTCTCAAGATAAATGTCACCCCTCCAGGAAGTCTTCCCTACTGTCTACCCCAAGTGTGGCTCACTGCCTATGCCCTGTGGCCCACAGTAACCTGTACTTTCCTTTTCAGAGTACTTACCACAGCATACTGAAGTCTCTGTTCACTTTCTTTACCTAGCTAGAATGTTTCTTGGGGGAAGGGACTTTGTTTTGATCACCATTTTATTCCCAGCATCAATATAGTGTCTGGCTCATGGTGAGTACATATTGGTCACATGAATTAATTTAGAATTCTGATCCTCCTTCAAAATAGTTAGGGGGTAAGACTTTTAAACTCGAATAAGCCGACACAAAACTAAAAGTAAAGACAAGCCCAGGAAGAAACATCACAGTGTTCTCCTCTTTTAAAAGGTCAGTGAGAACTAAGAAGTCATTTCAGAAGACAGCCACACCGCTTGGTCATGGCCCAGTACTCCTGAGCAATCTGCCATCTTAATTTCTCAGTTGAGCACCAGAGCATAAAAAACACCTCACATATAAAAAACCTCTCAGCTGATCTGAGGGTGTGGCAACAAGAACTGTCCCCCGAGGGGAGCCCTGACTGATCATGTGTCCTAGTGTGCCTGCAGATACCATGTAGCTAGGGCACCCCTGCCTTCACTGGCTACCACCAAGAGTGAGGTCTTTCTAGTTCCAATGCAGACCTTCAGATACAGGAAAGGATCCCCCAAACTCCACCCCCAGCCAATGTGGTACACTTTCAGTCTAGGCCACTGGGCAGAGAGATTTCTACTCTGAAGATATTGAAACAGGGATTAGATGATATCTCCATAAATCATGGGGAGAATGCCTCACTAACTCCCACACCACACATAGTGCTAATGTCACACATGCTTAAGGCAGGACCCCTTTCTCGAAAGCTACAGTGAATAAGGCCTTAAGTGTGGACACTGGGCACTGCCAGGGAAGCTGTTGTAGAGTAGGGAGCACCTGGTGACCCCAGCCCAGGCCTAGAAATGCCCCGAGGCAGGCCAGGCATGGTGGCTCATGCCTGTAATTCCAGCACTTTGGGAGGCAGAGGCAAGAGGACTGCCTGAGCCCAGGGGTTTGAGACCAGTCTGGGCAACTTGGCAAGACCTTGTCTCTACAATAAATAAATAAAAAACCTAGCTGGGTGTGATGACGTGCACCTATGGTTCCAGTTACTTGGAAGGCTAAGGTGGAAGGACTGTCTGAGCCCAGCAGGTCAGGTTGCGGTGGCCTTGAGCATGCCACTGCACTCCCGTCTGGGCAACAGTGAGACTCCGACTCAGAAAAAAAAAATTATTTATTTGATCTTTGTGCCCCCTGAGAACAAGCACAGGACTCCGAGGACACACACATAGTCCGAAGTACAAATATGCACCTGGCAAACAGACTCACAGGCACAGGCTCAAAACCACAATTGATTTCAAATCCAGACCCACCAGTCACTGCAAATCATGTATGACCACAAGTGCATGAACACACATACACTCTGAAGCAGATTTCACCCTCCAGTAAAAAGTGAGGTGGACAGAGTCTGTCTCCCATGCCCTTACATCTTTGGTGCACATGGAAGTAAGTCTCAGATAAGCCAAGTGACAGAGATGTGAGTGACAGAGCATGTGCTCAGGTGTGACCCAGTACTCCAGGAGTGCTCTCACCCAGCAGAAAAACAGGTCTGAACACAAGATTTCAGGCAAGCGAGGGAAAACGAAAGGGGCTGGGAGATGTCGTGGACACTCCTCCAAAAACATTAAATCAGGTAGGGGTCGGTGTACTCAGCCCTTGGTTTAGCTCAGAGCCCTCCAAGTAGGTCCCAGGGCAACACCAAGACGTTCCTCGGTGCCTGGAACAACTTCCTCCCCCAACTCGGAGCTCCAACGCCAAGCCTGCCCACCCCACCTTCTGCATTCACAGAGACCAGGCTGTTCCCTCGACACCTGCGCCCCAACACACACACACACACACACACACACACACACACACGTGTCCAGGCTGTCAGGACAGCTTTGACCCGACGGCCTTGGAGGCAAGCAGAAGGAGTTGGTTGGAGCCCGCGGCCACCCCTGGGGCAGTCGTGCCCTTGCCACACGAAGCCATGCGGGCGGGGGACCCAGGCGGGACGCCGACTCCCGGATGCGGCGGCCTGGGGCGGAACGAAAGCCGCCCCGCCCCGTGACGTCCGCCCGCGGGGCGCGGGAGGGGCGGGCAGCCGAGGCTTCATTCCCCAGCGGGCGAGCAGCCGCGGGAGGCGCGTCGGCCGGCTCGGCTCCCTTTCCGGACGATGCGGCGCCCAGGATGCTGCCGTGCCTGGTAGTACTCCTGGCGGTGCTGCTCGGCCTGTGCCACGGCTCTGGCGCGCACGGTAAGGCTCCCGGACCCGGCCCTGCCCCGCCCCGGGCTGTGCAGGTAGCCCGATCCGACTCCGGCCCGACCTCACCCCTCCCATAAAGTTCTGCATCCCGGGAACCACTCCATTGGCTGGGGAGACGGGCGCCCGTTACCTTCCCCGTCCCCGCTGGGCTCCTTCACTCTGGCAAGACTGGGTCTTAGGCTCACCTGTTGTGGAAGTGGAAGAGGCTGAGACCGATGAAGATGGGATCTGGGGGGTGGGATGGATAGAGAAATATGTGCAATGTCTGTGACCCCCGCACCTCCCCGCCCCTGCCAAATTCGTCATCTTCCCACCTTTCGCTGAGCTTATCAATTTCGCCCTAGCTTTTTTACTGTTCGGGTTCAAATGATGGGACTGCTTGTCCCCTGGAGAATAATTTTGATCTTCTTACTCTTTCCTGAGCCCTTCGATTAACCTCTTCCTGCCTTTCTCCCATCTCATCTTCATCCTTCACTGATCCCCCTCTTCTGATCATCCCTGCTTTGCCTGTACCCGCACCCCCAACTCATTCCCACCACCACCTGCCTGTCTCTTCCGGTGGCCCAGGCCCCTAGCTCAGCCAGCTCTCCAGGAAAGTTTCTGCAACTGAACAGAGTAAACCTGAGAGAGAGAGAGAGAGAGAGAGAGAGAGAGAGAGAGAGAGAGAGAGAGAGAGTGAAAGGGCTGGAGTTGGAGAGACCAAGGGCAGAAACAGAGCCAGTAGGGACCGAAACCACTTCTTCATGATGCCAAAATTCGAAGTAAAGCCTACAGTCAGCCATTCACGTGACCGAGAGCTGAGTCGGAGATATGCAGCCCAAACACCACAAAGACTGGCTGCATTTCTCACTTTCTGTCTAATGTTTTGAAATCGAGACACAGACTAGAGGATCAAAGACAGTACAAGAAAGAAAGCAAGAGACAGGGACAGATGTATTTTCTAAGTGAGAATGACGGAGTCAGAAGAAAAGGTGCATGATATCAGAGAGATGACGTGAAGTAGAGATCAAGGGAAGCAGGAGCAGAGTTGCCGTCACGGGGCAAAGGAGGAGAGAAGGGGAACCAGCCAGCCACTGGCTTTGCACTTCGTTCTGCTTGGTCAGCAATACTCAAAGTAGATGTGTTTACTGCATTCTTGCAAGAGAACAGGTTCAGTGATGTTTCTCCTGGGGTGTGGTGTATGTTGGAGGCAGAGGGCACAGGAGAGCAGAGCTAGGGATGGATATTTAGTATCTCACCTTGGAGTCAAGGGTGATAGCTCTTTGTGAGGATGTTCTTAGTCCAGTCTAGAACCAGAGCTGATTCATTCTGTCTGTCCTCACCCAGTCAGAGGTTGGGTATCTGGCTATTGGCAAAGCCCTTCTAGAAGCAAACACTCAATCTGGGGAGCCCAGGAGACCTATGAAGGGAAACAGGCAGATATCAACAAGCAGGCTGGCTGGGATCCTAAAGAATGCCAGAGAGGTCATGTTGGGCTAGAGCCAGAGCTGGGCCAAGATGGGGACCAGGTGTGGGGATGGAGGGCAGGCCTGGGCATAGTGCTAGGGTGGGGACAGGGATTGGGCAGCGCTGGGGTCTAGCTCTTTTGAGAGCTCATGACTGTCATGCCTTGGCCCCTGGCCCCTGCCTTCTCATTTGGGATGTGTTAGACCTAGCTTGACTTTTCTCAGCCGCCACTGTGGCTTCTGATCATAGACAGCATGGAGCAATAATTCAAGAACACACACTAGCTGTGGAATCAGACATATCTGGATTCTAGTCCCCACTCTATCTTTTACTGACTCCTTTGGCCTTGGGCAGTTCACTTAGCCTCTTTGCGTCTCCTTTTTCTTTGGTAACATTGGAGCCATCAATGCCTACCGTGTGGGACTATTGTACTAATTAAGTGAAACATACGTAAAGTGCTTAGTACAGTGCTCAGCTCATAGTAAAGCTCTCAATAAATGATAGCTGTTATATTCCTCGCTGTCACCCTCTTCCTCCTCCTCATCCCTGGGGGGGGGCTCTCCTAGCTCTGGTACTGACACTCTTCTCCTCAGGGACAGAACTCCCCAGACCTCCGTCTGTGTGGTTCAAAGCAGAGTTTTTCCACCACATCCTCCACTGGATGCCCATCTCAAATCAGTCTGAAAGTACCTATTATGAAGTGGCACTCCTGAGGTGAGGAAAAGGGAGAATGGAGGGAGGAGGGATGTGAGGGAGGGAGCAGATGGCTTCCACTCCTCCTACTTCCCTGCCTTGCTATTAAGGTGAGACCAGGAGGGACCCTGGCACATATACATCAATTGACAAGTCTGATGGAGTTTTGTCTGTGCAAAGCAATGTCCTGGGAGCCTGGAGAGAGAAGGCGGAGATACTGCCTTTGCCCTCAAGGCTTTTCTCTCTGGAAGACCAGGAAAAGCTTCCACAGTGTAGCTGGAAGATAGGGAAGCCCTAAAGGCTACAACTGCAGTTGGGAGAAGGGAAAGACCAGCTGTGTTGCGAGGTCCAGCAAGTCTTCCTGAAGGAGCTGGGACTTGAGTTCCTCACATTCCTATCTAAGAGTCTTTTGGACCACAGAGAAATTGGCACAGGGTCCCAGAACCAGGGGAGACTTCTTGCAATGAGATGCCCTCAACTAAAGGAAGTACCTTGAGGCTGTACCAGTTTCTCCCATTATGTGAGCTCTTTCCCTGGCCTCTGGCTTCTCTCTTAAAGGAGATAGGTTTGATCACAAGTTCCTCTCTAGTGCTTACCTTGGTATCTCCTTAGGTATGGTGGACAAGAGCCCTGGAAACTCATCCCCACCTGTAACCAGACCTTGGCACTGTCCTGTGACCTCACCATGGTGACTCTGGACCTGTACCATAACAATGGCTACCGGGTCAAAGTGCGGGCAGTGGACAGCGGCTGGCACTCCAACTGGACCTTCGCCAATACCCGCTTCACTGTGGATGAAGGTGCTTTTCCTCCCCTTGACCTAGAACATTGCTTTTTGGGATCCTTTCCAGCCAGTCTTTTCTCTCCATTCCCATAGCTTGCCTTGTTAGCCAGGCTTCCCTTGTTGCCCAAGCAGGGCAGCACTTTGGAGAAGGTTGAAAAAATAGCCAAAGTTTGTTTGAGATTTAAAAGGGAACTAGAGTTGTTTATCCTACAAAAGAGAGGTCTTGGGATGGGTTGGGGTAGCTGAGTCATGAGAAACAGGCCCGTGAACTTGTTGGGTTTAAAGAGGGGAAGCAAATCTGTAAATACTTAGCATGGGACAGTAAGCAGTAGGCAAAATTTGGGTGTGGCCCTTCCCCCTTTAGGAGTGAACTTCCAGGGCTCATTTCTTTAATGAAAGGAGAGGTGCTACTGAAGGGAAATTGGGAATCTCTCTCCAGCGAGGTAAGAGGAAGGATAAGCCCCAGACTCAGTGGGATGCTTCCATCTCACCAGTTGGGACTGAGCGTGTTCTATGTGCATGGTGAGCTTGCCTGCAGCGGATGGTCTAGGAGGTCATTGGCTCCCAAATGCCAGACCACAAGCCCCTGCTCTGCTGGCTGCAGAAACAATTCCTGGGAAGTGTGTCTAACATATATATTTCCAGGGCTTGGCCTCAGAAATTCAAAGTCACTGTGTGTTGAGTGGGTCTAGGGCATCTGTATTTTTTTTTTTTAATGTTTGGTTCTTCTTTGTGTTTTGATTTGAACAAAACAATTATAAAAGGACATTTTTGAGGAAGTAGTCATAGTTGTATATGGGATGGTTTTTAAGATACATTACAAGATATTTTATTCATTTGTTACATCTGATAACGGCATAGTAGTTATATTTTAAAAGTAGGTGTTTATGTTAGGGATATATTCTTCAGTAATTAAGAAATAAATAATACAGTGCTTGGGATTTTCTTTAACATACTACAGCAATTCATGCAGGGGGTATAGATGAAACAAAATTGGCTTAATGTTTGCAATTATTGAATCTGTGACATTGGAAATCATCACATTTTTGTGTCTATTGAAGCTTTCCACCCAAAAATGTAATAAATGCAATTTATCATATTAACTATTTACAAAGGAAAACATCATTTAAAAAGAAACTCTGCAGAGTTAGAGTAGGAAGAAAATGCCCTAACCTGTAGAAAGGCATCTACACATAAGCCTACCATAAATATTATGCTTAACAATGAAGCGTTGAGAACATTCCATCTTAAAATTTTTTTGAAATTTTCATTTATTTTTAATTTTAATAATAATTGTGTGTATTTATGAGGTACAGTGTGGTGTTTCAGTGCACGTATGCATTTTGGAATGATCAAATCAGGGTAATTAGCATACCTATCACCCCAAATATTTATCATTTCTTTGTGGTGAAAACATTTAAAATCCTCTCTTTTTGCTATTTTGAAATACAACAATATATTATTAGTAACTGTAGCCATCTTGCAGGCACCAGAACTTACTCCTCCTGCCTAATTGAACCAATAACCTATCCTTTCCCTGTCCCCTTTTTCCTCCCTCAACCTCCAGCCTCTGGTAACCACCATTCTACTTTCTACTCCTATGAATTTGATTCTAGAAGAATTTGATTTAGATTCTGCCTATAAGTGAGATCATATGGTATTTGTCTCTCTCTGCCTGGCTTATTTTACTTAACATGATATCCCCTGGGTATTTCCATGTTATCACAAATGACAATTTCTTGTTTTTTAAAGACTGAATAATATTCCATTATGTATATATACTACATTTTTTAAACTTGTTCATCCATTCATGGACACTTATGTTGTTTCCCTATCTTGGTTACAGTGAATAATGCTGCAGTGAACATGGAAGCATAGCTATCTTTTCAATATACTGATTTCAGTTCCTTTGGACAATATGCTCAGTTGTGGGATGACTGGATCATCTATAATTCTATTTTTAGATTTTTGGGAGCCTCCATTCCTGTTTTGTGTAAGGGTTGTACTAATTGACAGCCATCAGTGTATAAGGACTCCCTTTTCTCCACATACTCACCAGCACTTATCTTTCATCTTTTAGTTAATAGCTAGTCTAGCAGGTGTGAGGTGGTAACTCATTGTGGTTTTAATATACATTTCTCTGATGATTAGAGACGTTGACCAGTTTTTCATATATCTGTCAGCCATTTCTTTAGAGCAATGTCTCTTCAAGTCTTTTGTCCATTTTTAGAGCCATTTCTTTAGAGAAATGTCTCTTCAAGTCTTTTGTCCATTTTATGTGTTTTCTTGTTATTGAGTAATTTAAGTTCCTTGCATATTTTGGGTATTAGCCCTTATCCAATGTATGATTTGCAAATATTTTCTTCTAATTTGTAGGTTGTCTCTTCACTCTATTGTCTTCTTTCCTGTGAAGAACCTTTTTAGTTTGATGTAATTCCATTTGTCTATTTTTGCTTTTGTTGCCTATGCTTTGGGGGTCATATCCAAGAAATCTCTGTCATGTCCAATGTCACAGAGCTCTGCTCCTAGATTTTCCTGTAGCAGTTTTATAAATCCAGGTCTTACACTTGTCTTTAATCAGTTTCGAGTTAATTCTTATATAAGGGGTGATATAGGGTCCCTCTTCATTCTTCTATTTGTGGATAGCCAGTTTTCCCAGCACCATTTATTGAAGAGACTGCCCTTTCTCCATTGTGTGTTCTTGACACCTTTGTCAAAAATCAGTTGGATATAGATGTGTGGGTTTATTTCTAGTATCTCTATCCTATTCCTTTGATCAATGTATCTGATTTTAGGGCATCTGTATTTTTAGCATGCACCCATCCCCTCCTCAAGTCCTTGTGTTCTGCTGGGCTGGGAAACCTGTGGTCTAGGTTTTAGGGATGGTAAAGCTTAACCCCGAGGCAAGGCATGGATGGGACACCTAGGCCGTCCCAGTCCTCAGACCTCATGCTTTTGCCCCCTCCACCCCCCACCCAGTGACTCTGACAGTTGGCAGCGTGAAACTAGAGATGTACGACGGCACCATCCTCGGGATGATCCAGCCTCCCAGGCCCAAGATGGCCCCCGCAGGCAACACATATGAAAGTATCTTCAGTCACTTCCGCGAGTATGAGATTGCTATTCGCAAGGTGCCAGGAAACTATACGGTATGAGGTTCCCCAAGACCACAGGGCCAGTGCTCCTCGGGCTTCCCTGTTCTCTGGGCTGGAAGCACCTCTTGTGTGCTGCTGATGAACTTTGCTGGCAGAGTAGAGGGAAGGCCTAGGGAGTGGGGTGGAGGAGGGAGTTGAAATGACCTCAGCCCTCAAAGCTGTGCTCCTGTGAAATGGTGGGGAAGGCTCTGCCTGTGATGGGTGCCATCTGAGACATTCCATAGCTGTTGTTTCTGATTCCCTTGCAGTGGTATTTTATTTCATCTTATAGATGGAGTAGTGAGGCTCTGGGAGGCTATGGAACTTACCCAAGGCACCCCTGTTAATAGAAGAGCTGGAATCTGCAAAACCTCTCCCCTTTCCTCTCTACCACAGTTGATTCCAGCCTCTTCTGGAAAGATCTCCAACTTCTATAAAACACTCCCCTTTCTCTTTTAACACAAAATAAATTGTGGTAATTACAGAGATCTTGAACTGCATTGATAATTGCAGAGTTTGCTGCCTTAGGCCAAGAAGACCGAGAGGGCTTGGCCACAATTACCTCTAAAGGTCCCCTCCAGCTCTCAGTGATTGCGAGCCATGAAATAAGAGGATTTTGTTTAGTGTCGTTGTTTTTGTTTCAGTTCACAAAGAAGAAGGTAAAAAATGAAAACTTCAGCTTCCCAACCTCTGGAGAGGTGGGAAAGTTCTGTGTCAAGGTGAAACCATCTGTCAGCTCCCGAATCAACAAGGGTTTATGGTCTGAAGAGGAGTGCATCATCCTCACCAAGCAGTGTGAGTTGATCAAGACTACAGTCAGGACAAAAGGGACACTGGGAGGGTCTTGGCAATCTCCCCGCCGGGGCCCAAAAAAGTATTCGTTCCAGAATGCTGGTGCTAGGCACTGCCCTGCATAGCTCTTTATCCTCACACAACCTGTGAGAGAAGTCCTATTGACCCATTTTAGAGATGAGAAACCTGAAGCTCGGTATAAGCAACTTCCTAGGGCTGCACAGCTGGGACTTGGTGGCAGAGCCAAGTCTCCTAATTCTGGAGCTTTCCACTTAACACAGCTATGTTTCCCAAGAAACCCCCTCCCCCAGGCCATCCTCAGTCAGCTGTGCTAGTTCCTGTTGTTACAGTTCTCTTATGATCTTCCTCAGAACCAGGAGTACAAAAGGCTTCTCCTTACCTCCCCCCAGCCACACCAGAGAAAGCAGAACTGAGCTGACTTCGCACCAGGGCTGCTAGAGTCAACAGACACTGCTTCAGGCTCTCAGCCAGGTGCTGGGGTCATAGGGAAGAGAGAGGATATGGGGTGTAGAGCCCATGGTCCTGCCCACAAGGATCTTGAAGCCCAGCCAGGGAGACAGAGTGTACACAGAGGAGGCCATGTGAGCAGCTCAAGACAGCAGATGTCAAGTGCCCTATGACCCGTGCCAACCTCAAGTACTCTGGGAGTGCCCAGTCCAGTGTGGGCAGGGCCAAGATGAAAGTGGCTCCTTCTAGGTCTATAATAAATGTGAGTTTATGGAGGACATTCAACAATGCCATGCCATTGAAGTCTCAATGCAGAGTAAGGCCCTAACTGTGTGCCAGGCAGCCTTAGAGCCTTTTATACATTTGGTCGTTGATGTAAGAAATAGTTTTGTTCAAATCTCAGCCTTACCAAATGAGGTACAGGACTTTGAGCAAGTGACTTAAGTGAGCCTGTGCCTCAGAATCTGTAAAATTGGACTGGTGAGAGCATTTACCTCCGGAGGTTGTTATAAGGACCTGATGGCATAAGAAAAGTACTTGGTACTTGAGAAATGCTATTTATGTGCTTCACAGCCATCTTATGAGGTAGGTGCTATAAGTTTTCTCATTTTATAGATGAACAAACTAAGGCTCAGAGAGATTAAGCAATTTATTCACAGTCTCACAGCTAGTAAGTGGCAAAACTGGGATTTGAACCCAGGCCTGGCCGCCCTTTCTTCTTACTGGCTGTGCCATCCTGTTCTACTGTTTGCTATGGTGTGAGTGAGTTATGTGCAGAGAGCTGGAAGCAGTTAGTAGGTATAATAAGGGAATCCTTCAGGGCAGGGTTTGAAAGACCAGGCAGGGATTTGCAGAAACCTAGCCACACCTAGAGCTGTGGCCTACAGGTTGCCTGGGGCCACTCACTGAGTGGTTTCTGAGAGTGACTGAGGGATCTGTGGGGACCATCCCTGCATGTCCCATGGTGCCAGGCCACAAATGCATCTCTCTGGGCCTACAGATTTCACCATGACCATCCTCTGCATCTTCTTCACCTTCATCCTGCTGCTTTGTGGAGTCCTCGCCTACTGCCTGGCCCTGCAACTGTACGTGCGGCGCCGGAGAAAGCTGCCCACTGTCCTGGTGAGTCTTCCAGCAAGGCCTGTGTTATCCCTCCCAGCCACATCAGAGTTCCCAGGAGGACAGGAAGTTCCTCCCAGACAGACCATTCCCTCAGCCTGCTTGCACCTTTGGCCCTGGTGATGCTTTGATCAGGCACCATGGGGGACAGAGGGAGGAAGTAAACACAAAGCCCAGTTCTGAGAATGTTGCCTCCTAGTAGCCCAGAACAAACACGTGTTGAGTAATTGCAAACCTTAGTCACCCAGAGCCGGACATTAGGATATACCAGTAGCAGGCCTTGGACTAGCCCCTGTGTGTTGACTCTCCAAGGCAGGCACAGACATTATCCTTATCTTATAAGTGAGGCATCTGAGGCACAGAGAAGTTGTTACATGCTCATGGCCACGCAGCCAGGAAGAGCCAGCCCTGGAGCCTGTTATCCCACCCTCAGTGGCAATGGGTGTTCCCACTGAAAGAACAAAAGACCGGAAGTACTTGCTGGTCCTTGAGCTGCTATCAGAGTGGGCATGGGCAGAGTGGAGAGGAAATGGGGGAAAAGCTCATGGAGGAGGCCAGGACCTTCTGCCCTTCCAGGGTGTGTCCTCTTGTTACACTGTCCTGACAAATGAAACATATGTCGCAAACCAGTTTCCAAAGCTCAACTTGCAAGGGTTGAGTACCATTTTCCAAACCTGGGTCTGTCTCTGGCCTGGAGTTCAGGCTGTGTTGAAGGTTGCCGGACCACAGCCCCCAAAGCTGGCATTGTTGTGTGATGACTGAGGGCTTGGCTGGGAAGGACCCGGCTTGGTCAGTGAGGCAGGGACCCCAGAGAAATTCACAGCTGGGAAAGGAATCCAGAGGGATCATAGAATCTCTAGAAAAAGTAAGGAGAGAGACGAAGACTGTCTGACACTCAGGAAGTATGTGTGTGGTAGTGGAAAGGTAGGACTGCCTGGCCAAATTAGGGTGTTTGTCCAGGAAAAAAAGAACTGTATTCCCAGCTCCAGCACCCTAGTAGAAGAGTATGATGGGCCGGGCTCGATGGCTCAGCCTATAACCCTAGCACTTTGGGAGGCTGAGGCAAGTGGATTGCCTGAGCCCGTGGGTTCGAGACCAGCCTGGGCAACTTGGCAAGACCTCGTCTCTATAATAAATAAACACAAAACTAGCCAGGTTTGGTAGCATGTGCCTGTAATTCCGGCTACTTGGAAGGCTGAGGCAGAAGGATCGCCTGAGCCCAGTAGGTCGATGCTGGGGTGGCCGTGAGTGTGCCACTGCACTCCAGCCTGGGCAACAGAGTGAGATTCCAACTCAAAAAGAGAAAGAAAAGTATGATGAAGAGACTGGGGACAGCAGCCCCTACAACCTTAGAGGACTGTAAAGTTCTTCCTTGTATGTAGCTGAAGTATGCAACTCATGGTTCTTTCTGTGTGCTCCTGGGAGATTCAGTTCCACAAACATGTATTCACTGGCCTGTTTAACAAGTACTTTGAGCACATACTATGTGCAGGACTGGGAACTGGAGTGGTGATGGCTTATAGGTGAATACACTGAGCCTGTTCTCAGGGGTGGGCAACCAGGACGTGATAACTAGAAAGCAGAGGGGTGGGAGCAGGGTGGTTGTGGTACACTGACTGGGAGACACTTCGCTGGGGATCAGGAGAGACATCTAGAAACAGTGAGTTGGCAATTGAGCTACAGATACTGAACACCTACTACCTGAACATGCAAAATGCTGTTTAGGAAGAAGCTGACTAATGTGGTCCCAAGGGGCTTGATTCCAGCCAGTGTGTAAGCTATTAATTTGAATGCAAAGCAGTGAAATAGACATAGATGCAAAAATGCCGAGAGGGCATGCGACTTCTGTTTTGTTTTGTTTTTTTCCTTCCTTCTGTGCTTTTGGAAATTTGACTTGTCCTGGAGAGTTTTGTTTTTTTCTCTTCAGGATAAATATAGCCCAATTCCTTTCACCTAATGATCATAGTCATTACTAACTTCATGAATAAATTGTAATGCTCAGAGCACTTTTGCATTCATTAGTTTGTTCTCATTCATCAGCTGGTTTGATCTGATCTTTCCATAATCCAGGTAAGTATTACTAGAAAAGCAAGAAATTTCAAATCAGGACAGTTGAACATACATTCTAGGCTCTTGGCACAAAGTTTGTGTAGCACAAAGTCTGTGTGACTTTGTGCAAGTTGCTTAACTTCTGAGAGCCTCAGTTTTCTCCTCTAGGAAATAAAGGTAATAATACTTCCCTTACAGAATTACTGGAGGATAAAGTTCAACTCAGCACATTTATTGATGCCTCCTATATACCATGCTTTGCTCTCAGACTTTACATGTGTTAACCACAACATAAGGCAGGTACTGTTGTTATAGTCGTGTTACAGATGAGGGACCAAAGCACAGAGAAGTTCAGTAATTTGACCAAGGTGACAAATCTGGTAAGAGGCAGAGTTGGGATTTGAGCCCACAAAATCTGGCTCCATAGTACACATTTTTTGGGGGGAAGGGGGAAGCAGGATTTATTGAGAGGGCAGAAAAGCTCCCAGAGCAGGAGTGGATCCAAGGGGTTATCCCAGAGTACACATTCTTAATCACCAAGCGATGTGAAAGTAATAGGGATTCAACCAGTAAAAGCTGCATTTGAGACCTCAGATACCAAGGAAATGAGGGCAGGTGTAAGTGAGTCAGTAAGTCAGTCAATAGACCTTATGAGTGCTTATTTTATGCCAGCACAGTTTAGGCTGTAGTGACAGCATGGCAAACAAGACTAGACAGTTCCTGCCCTTGAGAAGCTTATGTTCTTTTGGAAATATAGAGATGAGTAATGGTATGTATGGTGGAAGGGGCAGAAAACAAATAAGTAAAATACAGTAATTCCAGGAACTAAGTGCTAGGAAGAAGCAAACAAGGTTCACATGGAAAGAATAGCTGGAGCATTCCTTTGGCCATAGTGGCCTCTCTGAAGAGGTGAATCCTGAGCTGAGCCCTGAACAATGAGGAGGATACAGCCATACAAAGTGCTGAGAGGAGAGTATTTCAAGCAGAAGGAGTAGCTTGTGCAAAGGCCCTGAGACAGCACTGTGCTCGATGTGTTCTGGGACAGAAAATACAAGTGTGGCTAGGACAGAGGAGTGAAGGGGCGAAGGGTTACTTGACTTCCATGGGATTCTTGGCAATGAATGGGGGCAGATCCTTGGTTGCTAGTTCTGTACCTGTGCCACCTCCCCCACACCACAGCCACTTTGTTTGTGCAGGTCCCACCTTGGGGAATGGAGAAGTTAATTTGGTGTTTCACATACAGAATTTTATTTATTTATTTATTTTTGAGTTGGAGTCTCACTCTGTCACTAAGGCTGTAGTGCAGTGGCACATTTATGGCCACCCCAGCATCGACCTGCTGGACTCTGGTGATCCTTCCACGCCAGCCTTCCAAATAGCCAGAACTATAGGCACGCAATACCTTGTCTGGCTAATTTTTGATTTATTGTAGAGATGTGGTCTCACCAAGTTGCCTGGGCTGGTCTCGAGCCCACAGTCTCAGGCAATCCACTCGCCTCACCTCCCAAAGTGCTGGGATTACAGGTTGAGCCACCGAGCCCAGCCGCGTACAGAATTTTTAAAATGAGATGAGTAGGATTAGATGGACTAGGAGGGAACAGAACAGACAGGCTATATTATGGCACATAGGTCATCATGCTCAATATTATTTTGTGAAGCTGGTTTCAGTTATTTATATATGAATTATATATACAAGTTATTACGTAACTTATTTCTGATTTGGGGTCATAGTCCAAAAAGTTTAAGACACTCTTCTAGATGGGTCTGGCCTGTTCTGAAATAAATTTGAAAGATGGAGCCACCTGAGAATTTTTCCCATTCCCAGCAGGCTCTGCCTGTCATTCCATCCGGGCCCCAAGAACACAGGCTTCTTATGTATCTGACCTGGCCACACTGGCTTGCATCAAGAGAAAAGCCTTATTCTAAGACAAAACAGAAAGAATAAACTGCCTTAGGATCCAGGCTCCACAGGCCTCTCTGTTGAAGCTCTTTTCTGGGACCTGTGGCCTCACCTGGCAGCACTGGGGTGGGTTCCTGCTGGTGACCCCACCTCTCTCATTCTGCCCTCCCTTTCCCAGGTCTTCGAGAAGCCCAGCCCCTTCATCCTCGTCAGCCAGCTTCCTTGCCCAGAGGCCCAAGACACCATCCACCCCCTGGATGAGGAGCCCTTCCTGAAAGTGTCCCCAGAGCTGAGGAACTCGGACCTGCATGGCAGCACGGACAGTGGCTTTGGCAGTACCAAACCATCCCTGCAGACTGAAGAGCCCCAGTTCCTCCTCCCTGCCCCCCACCCTCAGGCCGGTGGAACTCTGGGAAGCGGAGAGCACCCGGAGATGGAGGGCAGCTGTCATATTGGCAGCAGCGACAGCACAGACAGTGGGATTTGCCTGCAGGAGCCCAGCCTGAGCCCTGGCATGGGGTCTGCCTGGGAGCAGCAGGCCAGGAGTAACAGCACAGGCCAGGATGACAGTGGCATTGGCCACTGTCAAAACTCTGAGGGGCAGCCTGGGGACACACTGGGTGGCTCAACCTTAGGCCATGTCAGTCCCCAAGAGCCCGAGGTGCCTGAGGAAGAAGACTCAGCTGCGGTAGCATTCCAGGGCTACCTGAAGCAGACCAGATGCACAGAAGAGAAGACAACCAAGACAGGCTGCCTGGAGGAAGAGTCCCCCTTAACAGATGGCCTTGGCCCCAAATTCAGGATGTGCCTGGATGCTGAGGCAGGCTGGCCTCCACCAGCCCTGGCTAAGGGCTATTTGAAACAGGATCCCCTAAGAATGACGCTTGCTCCCTCAGGGGCCTCACCTAGACAGTGGAACCAACCAGCCAAGGATTGGCCACTTCTGGACTTGACCAGCTGTGGTGACCTGGGAGCATCTGACTGGAGCTTTGCCCATGATCTTGCACCTCTGGACTATGCTGCCACCCCAGGCAGTTTCCTGGGTACCTTCAACTCCGACCTGGTCACCCTGCCACTGATCTCCAGCCTGCACTCAAATGAGTGACTTGAGCAAAAGGGTTGCTTTTGTTTTCAGCCATGCCTGCTCCCCTACCTGGACCAGGAAAAGGAGCTCCAGGGGTCAGAAGTGAAACATGAAGCAGTCTGGGCACTTTTCTGCAAGCCCATTGGGGCCAGTCCTTTCTAGGAACTGCAGGGCTGGGCAGAGTGTCGGGGGCAGCAGGAGGCCATCTTGCTAAACTAGTGTTGCATGTGTGGGTGGCATTAGCCTGTTCTGCTCACTGGGGCCCTGCAGACTCTGGCAGAGCTGAGAAAGGTAGGGTGGAGGCCTCCTCCCTCCTCTGGACCCTTTCTTGTGACGTAAAGGATTATTTGCTCAGGGGAACCATGGGGTTTTCTGGAGCTGTGACGAGGCCACCAGGCTGAAGTCATCTCAGACCTGGGCCTCCCCCATAGGCCAGTCAAGGGTCAGAGCCTCCAGCAGAATGAGGACTGAGGATGGGAGATTCAGGGCCTCAATGCAGGGGTCATTTCTAGGGGGAAAAAGGAGGGAGCACAGGCTAGGCTTTATCTCTGGGATGATCTTATGGAAAAGCTTCCCCTCAAACCCTGGCAGGCCTTTTAGGCAGAGAGCTGTCCCTGGAAGATCTCAAGGTATATCTGCCCTGGACAGTCAGTCAGCCAATCCATACATTATTGTGGAGTCACAGGGGGTCAGAGGGAGCTGAGACCCCAAACGAGACTTCTGGCTCAGAACCCATCCCATCTGGTGGGGCATCTCTGATGTCCATCTGCAGACATCTCCCTCTCTCTGGAAGATAGAATAGCATCCCTTGCCCACTCTGCTGCCCCACCATCTTGTTGACAGTTCCAGAAAAGTCGTCATTGTTTGTATTGGTCAAAGCTCAGCTCAGCCCTTCAAGTGGCCTCTGGGCTAGGGTACCATCTCAAGCTAACCCTAGAGAGTCAGGGTTGGAACTTGCACTTGTGTTTGCTGCTAATGTTCATTTACAAATCCAGAGGACAGGGCAGTGGGCACTGGACTGGTGTCCCTGCTCTTTCAGTGTTCAGTTCTGTGACCTTGATCCAGCTACTTGTTAAATGCCCTCAGTTTCCCCATCTTTAAAATAAGGACCCCACCTTTAGGGGGTCCTCTATGCTGGATGTTAGCCAAGCTGACCTCTGGGGTAACATTTCTGACCCTGCCTGACCTGGGATGGGAGGAAGTGGACTCTGGAAGCCATCTTCCCAGACCCAGCTTGTTTTTCATGCCAAGGTCTGACAGGTCTAGTGGGAGTCCATGGCATAATGCCAAAAGAGTACCAGTCACTGGGAGCCAGAAAGGGAACAGGTATGGACTCTGCTTCCCAACAGTCCATTTGAAATCTGTCTTCAAACAAAGGGAGTTCACAGACCATAGGCACAGCGGCTGGGAGGGGGCGACAGACCTGTGCCTACCCCCAGAGTCATCTCTGTTGCATTCTGAAAACAGACATTTTGATCCAGGGAATCCAGCCAGGTTCCCTGCCTTTCTGATGAGATGCTCAGGTGCTGGTCTGATCGCTCCCTCTGGAAACAGGCTTGTGGGAGGATTCCTCTGGGTTCCCTAGAAAGATTTATTTATTTATTTTTCATTAATTTATTGAAGAGGTTGCATAATACTGTTAAAAAAAAATTCTGAGCCGGGCTCTGTGGCTCAGCCTGTAATCCTGTGCCTTTGGGAGACTGAGGTGAGTGGATTGCCTGAGCCCGTGGGTTCGAGACCCGCCTGGGCAGGCAAGACCTCATCTCTACAATAAATCAAAAATTAGCCGGGCGTGGTAGCGCGCGCCTGTAATTCCGGCTACTTGGAAGGCTGAGGCGGAAGGATCACCGGAGCCCAGCAGGTCGAGGCTGCGGTGGCCGGGAGCGGCCACTGCACTCTAGCCTGGGCAACAGAGTGAGACTACAACTCAAAAAAAAAAAAAAAAAAAAATTCTGGTTATCTCAGGAACCCCAGAATTCTAGTTCTGACTCCACTGTTTTTCTGCTGTGAGACCTTGGGCAGTCATTTTTTTCTTTAAGCCTGTTTCCTCATCTGTAAAATACTGACTGACTTGTGTAATTCATAGGGATGTGAGGTTCTACTGAGGAAATGGTTGTGAATATGCTTTGAACACAAAGCTCTGAATATGAGTGATACATGTTTTTCATTCCAATAAATTGTCAGGACCACAGAAATCGTGTGAAACCAGATTTCTGATGACACAGTGGCTGGTGGAGGGCTCGGTTATTGATGCTTGAGGATGATCATGAAAGCGATGTGTGATGCTGCTTTAAGGAAATAGAATGAGGACTTGGACTCAAATCAGACCCAGGTTCAAGACCTCATGCTCTCTGTGACTTCGGGCAACTTACCCTCTCAAAGTTTTCATTTCCCATCTGTAACATGGAGTTGACAACTCCTCCTGGGGCTGTTGTGAGGTCTAAATGAGATCAAGTATAGAAAGAGTTTAACACGGCATCAGGCATGTCCTGCTCCATGTGTAAAGAGCTGGCATTGGCTGTTCACCCTGTAAGAGGAAATGGACCAGTTTTTCTTGGGAACAGGTGAAAATGAAAGCGAGAAGGAGTAGGCAGAGCGATTCTTTCAGGAGATTGAAAAGGAAATGGTAGAAAGGCAGCATGTGTTTTAATGTGAATTCTGACAACTTAGGAGAACCTGTCAGTCCCTCCCTGAAAGACAGCAAACCAGACCTCCCTAGAGCCCTGTCATCTGCTCCTGCCCTGTGGGTGTGTCCCAGGAGTGGTTCTCATCAGTGTGGAAGCCATCTGCATTCTATTCTAGAAGCAGCCTGCTCCTTCCATAAAAAGCCAGGAGCTTTGCATCTCAGCCCAGTGGGTGGAACAAACCCAGACCTGTGGCCTGAGCCTCTCAAGTGCTTCTGTTTGTCCTGCCTGGATTCCTAGGGAGGTGGCTGGGGACACCTCATTTCATTTCCCCTGCCTCGTCTCCAACCTTGCTTCTCCCTCTTTCGTTCTGAGAAAAGAATCAGTTCTGGAGAAGTGCTGATCCTATCACCTTCAGAGAATTTGAGTAATGTCACACCATTTGGGACCTGCTCAGACTTCTGCCCTGGAGGCCTCCTTGTCAAGACTGGAAATAGAAGTGGGGTTGATCACTTTCTCCTGGAGATGAAGTGTTGGAGATGGCTCCTTCCCCATGGAAAAGGTCCCTAAGGCAGACTGAGGTGTGGCCAGTTGTAAAAGGTTAAAAGTTGTTTTAAAAATCTTACTTTGTGGTCAAATTAATTAAAGTTAAATAGATTTGTTTATAAAAAAAAAAAAAAAAAAGATTCAGAGACTAGGAGGAATTATGTTTAAGGACCTGGAGTCATTTTGGTCGAAATGACAGACAGGAAGCAGCTTGCAGGACAGAATGGAGTCAGAAGACTCAGCCCTTGGTGTTCCTCTTCTGTAGAAAGAGTGGGAGTGGGTGCTGGTTTACCTCTACTTAGAGCTGCTGACCATCCAGCACAGCCAGGGCTATGGGAGAAATTGAGAGAGTTCTTCCAGGCAGCTGCGACTGATGAGGCACTTGCAGACTTCTTGGGAATTTGGATTAAAGTCCCCAACAGGAGGCCCTGATTCTTCTTCAAGTGAGCAATCTCATTCGAGGGCTTTTCCAGGCTGAGGAATAAGTGATGGGGTGTTTCTATGAGCTAACGGAACTTCCTCTTAGTAAGGAGAGAAGGGAAATGGACCAGTGTTGACTGACCGAAGAGGAAATTCTATTGAACTGTGTTTTCCCAACTTTGTAAATAACTACGATTGAAGAGTTTGCCCTGTCCTCCCAAAATATCTGTATCCCCCTCCACCCCCCCACAGGGCACACGCTGTTACAGAATACACATAGTCCCTAGGAAGTGGAGTCCCACCTGTGGAGCCCCCACTGTCCTGCTGTGTGGAAGTTCTCTGAGTCCCACGAGTGAACGGCAGAGCAAGAGGTGCTGTAGGCTGTGCCCATCTGGGACGGCAGACCCAGGTCTGCTGCCTGAGAGGCAAGTAAGGTAGTCAGGGCTGATTTGATCAAGCTTCAACCTAGAGGACATTAGATACTGTGAAGCTTGACTCATTTCCTGCAGTGCTCATGGGCTCAAAGAAGCAAACCCACAGTCTTGGGTTTGAAGCAAACCCACAATTTAAAATTAAAAGTATTATTAATGACCCCCAGAACATTTCCTTTCTATCAGCTTGATCTTAACTTCCCAGAAACCTCCCAAAAGGGTGGTGGGACCCAATAAACTCTGATGAGAAGAGGTTAGGTAGGATGAAACTAGTGTTTTAAAAAGGTGACCCTGGCCAAAGCTTAAGATATGAATCAGAGGGAATGAAGCAGGAGGCAGGGAGACCTGGTGGGAGGCTTTTATTGTAGTCACATGTTATTTTTTCAACAAACATTGTTAAGTACCTACTGTGTGCTGGACATGGTGTTCAGCCTAGGGTACAGAGTGGTGAGCCAAAAGACATGGCTTCATGCAGCGTGCCATCTGTTTATGAAGTTAAACACGAAGCAAATAAACACAATAACATATTTCTACATTCAGTGACAAGTGGTATGAAAGAAACTATTATTCGACACAAGGGATGAGGCAGGAAGCAGAGAAGCAGGGTAAGAGGCTGTTTTAGCCCAGGCTACTGTAACAAAGTGCCATGGGCTGGGCGGCTTAAACAACAGACATTAATTTTTCACAATTTTAGAGGCTGGGAGGTCCAGGATCAAGGTGCCAGCTGATTCAGTTCCTGGTGAGGGCTCTCTTCCTGGCCTGTAGATGGTCTCCTCCTTTCTGCGTCCTCACATGGTAAAGAGAGAGAGCTCTGGTCTCTATTTTCTTCTTCTCATAAGGGAACTAATCTCATCTTGGGGGCCTTACCCTCATGACCTCCTCTAAACCAATTACCTCCCAAAGACCACCTCCAAATACCATCACATCTGAGGTTACAGCTTCAACATATGAATGGGGGTGAGGAGGACACAGTCTATAACAGGACCTTGTATAATGGTCC